CAACCACACAACAACACAACAACCACGCAACAACACAACAACCACACAACAACCACGCAACAACACAACCACGCAACAACACAACAACCACACAACAACCACACAACAACACGGCCACACAACGCAACCACGCGACAACACAACCACGAGACACAACCACGAAACACAACCACACAACAACAACACACAACAACGCAACACAAAAACACAACCACACAACCAGACAATAACACAACCACACAACAACACAACCGCACAACAACACCACCCAACAACGCAACACAACCACACAACACATGCACACAGAGGGGTCAGACAGGAGAAGACTCAGTCACACCTCGAGGCCTCCTCCGCCTCCTCCGGGAGATTATTGCAGCAGTTTCTGGCTGAGCGGGCAGATCAGAGCCGGACAGGAAGCAGGACGGCGACTCAGCTGAGCTCCAAACGCGTGGACGCTGCGATCGGGACGGAGCGCCGCCGGCGTCGGAGCAACACGACGGTCTGGAAGCCGCTTTGCTCCATCCAGCCGTTCACTCGGAGGCAGCAGAAACATCCGCACTAGTTTTCATTTTCAAACATACGACTCTGGTGGTTCAGGACTAAAGCGGAGACTTTTGGAAGTTCCTGTGTCACTTTGAAAACTCGGAACAGAACGATGACGACACCAAGTTCATGTCCAGACTGGAACTAATTTCTGAAAATAAAACTCTGAAAATCTGGCAGCAAGGACGACTTAGAGTCCTGTTTTATCTGTTCAATAGAACTTTAAGTGTTTAATAATGTTTGTAGATGAACAACAGGAACTGATATTTGGGATGTTTTCTTTTATATAGTTTTCAGTGTAAATTTATATAAATATATTTAAATATCTGTAATTGAACAAAACAGGAAAAATCAGTAAAATAACAGTTCAGTGTTACAGTTTTGGCCTTATTTGTAGTTTTACTAATTAATATCTATAATTTAACAAAATGGCAAAAATTGGTAAAATAACAGGAAATTGTTTTTAAACACGACAACCACAGTCTGGAGTGTGTCATATCTGCATAACGCACATCCAGTCTATGTGAATGGAATTTACTTTAAAGTTTTTTTTAAAATGATTTCTGAGTTGATGTTTTCAAAGGAAAACGTTGCGGATGCAGAAGTTGCAGCTCTGACTGGACGATAAATCAGCCGGTTAGAAACCAGTGAAGCTGCTGCCTGCTGGACGAAGCCACCGTGGACTGAAACTCGACTGTTTTAAAGCGGAGGACGTCTGGTTTTGGCCCGTAAGAGCAGAAACGCGAATATTAAGTTGAACTGTAAACAACTAATCCAAGGAAACAGATCTGCAGTGAGCAGCCCTGTGCGCCAAACAGTGACACACAACTAAACTGCATTCTCATTGTGTTCACCGAAGCTGTGACGCAGGAGCAAAGAGTCACAACGTCTCTATGAAGGAACTTCAGTCCAGGAAATCCAGAGTTTAGACACCAGAACTACCTGGTTAGGTTCAGGGTTAAAATACGTCCCGTGCACAACGGTTTGAAGCTTCTCCTCCATTTTCTGGGTTGCCAGGGTGATGAGTCCCATCCCATCCAACATATGAGTCACTGGCTGAACAGCAGCAAAAGTAAAACTAAACGCATGTTGATTACAAATGCAGTCCTGAGGAAGCAGTTTAGTCGCATGGAAACAGTTTTTCGGAGACAGGGCTGCAGTGAGGGTCGTCTCCTCTGCTGCTGGTCTTTTCCTGAATATCAACACGGAGTTTTACGTTGAGTGTGTTGGACAGAACAGCATCTACAGTGTGTATGAAGTATTCACCTTCCCTGAGAAGGTTTCCCCATTTATTGCTTGTCAACGTGGGTCAGGGTCAGTTTGATTTGGCAAAAGACAAAAGACTCTTTTAATCCAAAGTTAAAACTGATTTATACAAATTAATGTAAACATTAGCACGTTGTCCTCAAAAACTGAGCGACGGAGCAAGGAGACTAGTGAAGGAGGCTACCAAGACTCCTATGACTCCTCTGAAGGAGTCACTAGAAGGAGACTAGTGAAGGAGGCCACCAAGACTCCTATGACTCCTCTGAAGGAAGTACAAGAAGGAGACTAGTGAAGGAGGCCACCAAGACTCCTATGACTCCTCTGAGATTGGAGCGACTGTTCATACAACTGTTGTCTGTTCTTCACCATCAAAGCTTTATGGGAGACAAAGAGAAAGACTCTGTTGGAGAAAGTTCAGATTAAATCTGGACTAGAGTTCACCAGAAGACCTGTAGAGACCTTCAAGCCACCTGGAAGAAGGTTCTTTGTTCAGACGAGACCAAAATGGAGTTTTTCTGGCCGTCAGACTCGACGCTATGTTTAGCACATGACCACAAACACACCATCTCCACTGTGAAGCACGGCGGTGGCAGCATCATGATGTCAGGATGCTTCTTGGCAGCAGGTCCTGAAAGGCTTGTGAAGGTACAATGAATGCATCAAAGTAAAGGAGAAGTCCAGGAGGAGAACCTGAAGCAGTCTGCAGGAGAACTGAGTTTTGTTTTCCAGCAATACGTTCTGCAATGACAGACTCAGACTCTAGACTTCGGTCCAATGGAGAATTAGTGGCTGGACTTGTAAAGAATCTTTTCTACAAATCAAACTGACCATGACTGTGTTTATAACAGGTGAAGACTTCCTCGGGGGGTGAATGCTTCATGTAGACACTGTGAACTAACAAACTCTTCACTGGGGAACGCAAATGGACCGACGGACTGTCGGGTAGACGTGGACTCGGCAGTCATTGCAGCAGATCTCAGAATCGTAGCAAACGGACACACCGGGTCGGACCCTCAGAGGATTTCATGTGTTTCTACTTGTTGTGGGGAAACGAGTGGGTTTGTCTCCTGTGGCGCTGTGGGGTCGGGGCGGGGCTCAGACTCGGCCGTGAGAAACTGGTTTGACAGTTAAAAACACACACACACACACACACACACACACACACACACACACAACATGTTAACAGGAGACGATGTCCACAAGCAGACACGTTTAAACCAATCAGGACGCAGGACAGCAGCGACGCCTGAGAGTCGGAGCGCGAAGCCGGACGGAGAACGCAGACTGAGCCGTCCTCCGGTCCTCGTCCGTCGCCGAGCCCACTCGTCAACAACAGACCCACTCAGACGCTCTCGCTCCCACCTCATGCACAACTTTCATCCCACTACGGCGCTGCTGGATCTCACAGGATGAAAGATGAGACGACAGCAGACAGACGAGCGCTCGAATGCACAGGAACAAAATAAAGACAGCACACACAGAGAAAGGAGTGAAAGTGACAGACGCTGGCGTCCACGTGGAGGATTCCAGCTGTTGCTGTGAACTCATGCAGCAGATGGATGGACACGCTCGTCGTTAAACAGACACGACCGGTTTCTGGGCGTCTTCGGTCAGTTCACCTGCTGGGTGACGAGAACGTCGACACCCAAACGCTCCGGCTTTCTCATTCTTAAAGGAGACGTTCACTCGTCTCAGACTGCAGATGTGTCGGAAGTATTTTTCTTAACGAAGCCCAGAGAGGCCGAAGCTTAATTATCATCAATATTTAATGGTTTTCCACTGCAGACACTCCTGGAACTTGTTTCAGGCTCCTTCTTTTTGGGAGGAAAAGCACATTTTCCAGGTTTCTAAACAGTTTTTCGCTGTTATTTGTGTTAAATCAGATAATAACTCGTGAAATTACAGAAAATCTACATTATTATAAAGAGTCATTGATGCTTTTATGATTGACGCTAAAATTACACTGTTTTATTTTTATTTTTTACAGTTTTTAAATGAATATTACTTTAAAAATATTATTTTACAGATATTTGACAATATTAAAAAATATATATTGAATAATTTTATAATTTTGGATGTTATTAGATATTTAGTTATTTTACTGATTGTTCCTGTTCGGTTAAATTACAAATTATATCAAGTAAAAAAAAATAAATTTAATTTACACTAAACAAAGAAACAAACAAACAAACAGGTCAAGACTGTAAATAATGTCCAGATTAAAAATCAGAGTTTTTCCAATAGTAATTAGTTTGTTTTTACAAATTGACTGTAAAATTACACCATTTACTTATTTATTTATTTTTACTATTTTAATTTTTTTTATTTTTTTTATTTTTTATTTTATTTTTTTTTATTTTCAATTTTTTTACAGACTGTCCCTGTTTTGTGAAATTAGACATAATATCTCGGAAAAACACAAAAAATCCATTAATTTAAAAAAACTGAACAAAACAACAAAAAACAGATTGTAAATAATGTCCATATCAAAAAATGGTAATTTGTTCTTTAACAATTTTACAATTCATTTTTAAATGAATATTATTTTAATAATTAAAAATTGTGAACATTTTAATAATTGTAGAATGTTATTTTACAGATATCCAGTAAAATTACTTTTAAGAATATATTATTTAGATGTTGACCCGCAAAAACACTAAACTTAAAAAACCCAAAACAGGTCAAGACTATAAATAATGTCCACATTTCTTCTTTTACAAATGGTGACGGTAAAATGACACATTTAACCAGCAGGAGGTCCTGATAGATTTCCGGTGTTTGCTGTTATTTGAAAGATAAATTACGTGTGTTGAGGATTGAGTAATTCTTAAACTTTTATTTCACATATTTTCATTGTTTTTTAAATTACATTACTAAACTGTGCCTTCAGGGCCACCGTACACGTTGATTCTGCTGATTTAGCATTAACGTGAAAGACGCTGACGACGGTGCGTCTGTTCTCGTCACTTTGCGGCGTGAAGCCGAGCGACTCCCAGAAACCGGCGGCGCCTCTTTAAGCAGCTGAGGACACACAGGTGAGACAGTCTGGGCTTCTGGCGTACAGGTGTGACTGAAAGCAGGAGGAGGTGCTGCTCTGAGCGGGGGTGGTAGATAGTGAGGGTGAAGGATGAGCTGCTGAGACCGCTCATATAGAGGTCAGAGGTCAGGGGTCAGGGAGAAGCGAGCTGATTGGTTGACGTACCGACGGAGGTGGGCATCTCGCCCCACTGCAGCACCACGTCTTTGGTGATGCGTCCGTAGGTGTTGACGTAGACGCCCTCGTCCTCGTAGCACAGCAGCATCTCCATGCCGTCCGTCTTGGGCAGAACCACGATGGCGTGCGGGGTCACCTGACCCTGAATCTGCCGGGGCGACACACGGGAGGAGGGGGTTGGAGGGGGGGGGGGCACGGGGCGGTGAGGGGCCGCTGGACCCCCCCGGCGCCCCCCGACCCCACCCCCGACAGAAGAAACTGCTGCAACAATGGAGGCTCCCGCTCCGCAGCCACGCAATCGCCATGGAAACAGACATGAGCACAGCGTGATTCATGACTGCCGAGAGCGCGGTGAGGCGGTTGCCGTGGTTACCGTCTCCTTCCCCCGTCCATCCCTGACTGTAACCAGACCGGGGTTAGAGGAGGACACCGACTCACCCACTGCTTCACTCGCTCACTTCACCACCTGACTCTGCCTTCAGACACTCACTCAGTCACTCCCCTGATCCCACATTCAGACACTCATTCATCCACTCACTCATTCATTCAGCCACCAAATCTATAAACACTCACTCATTTACTGAGACACAGAATAACTCAACCATTCACTCACTCATTCATTCACGCACCTGATCCAACATTTAAACACTCACTCACTCACTCACTCACCTAACCTTGCCTTTAAGCATTCATTCATCCACTGAGTCACTGAATCACTCGTTCATTGTCAGCTTGGGTTTCTCTCTCGTTTTGCTCCTTGTTTACTTTCATCCATCGTTTACATTCACACGTTCATTTGTCTACTCTTTGATTTGTTTGCTGGCACTGTCATGTGTTCATGTGTTCACTCACTGGCTCATTAATTCTCTCACTTGCTCACTGTGTCATTCTTTAAAGTCACACACTGACTTTAAAACACAGGTCATCAGTTTATCATTGACTTACACTCATCTCCTGGTGACTTGAACTGACTGTAGCTACTAGTTCCCTAACGTTAATCTATCATTAACCTAACCCTAAGCTTAACCTGACCTTAACCTAATGTTAACCTAACCTTCATCTAACGCTAACCTAAGTTTAACCTAACCATACCCTAACCTTAACCTAAACTTAACCTAACCATAACTTAACGGTAAGCTAACCTTAATCTATCATTAACCTAACGATAGCCTAAGGTCACCTAACCTTAACATTAACCTAACCTTTACCTAACGTTAACCTACCCTTCACCTAATGTTAACATAAGCTTAAACTAACCATACCATAACCTTAACCTAAACTTAATCTAACTATAACTTAATGTTAAGCTAACCTTAATCTACCGATAGCCTAAGGTCACCTAACCTTAACGTTAACCTAAAGTTAACCTAACCTTAATCTAACCTTAACCTAACACGAATCTAACCTAAACCTAACCTAACAGTAACCGAACCTTAACTGAACATTAACCTTAAGTTAATCTTAAGTTGACCTAACATTAAACTAACGTTAACCTAATGTTACCCTAACGATAACCTAACCTGTCTTTACCTTAAACCGAGTCTTAACATTATATCGTTTACGGAGCCTTACATGTGAGGGGATGTAGATGTCGTAGGGGTTCCCAGAGTCGACGTCGATGACGTGGAAGCCGACGCTGGACCCGTAGATCACCTTCAGCCTCTGGCCCTCCTCCACGGTCAGGTCCACCAGTAGGGGGCGGTGCTGCAGGTCGGTGAAAGACTGACGCACAGAGAGGAAGATGGTCGGTTAACCAGCGGAGAGCTGATCAAGAAATATTTACAACAATTTCTCCTCACCGCCTCTGATTTGCCTGAAATAGTTACAGCATCAGATATGGACATTTATAAAGACATCTGTGCAATTAGAGCTTCAAATAACAAATACTTCCTGAGATGGAATATTATTAAGAATTGCCACTTTAACCATGTTTTTTTTATATACATTTTAATATGGCTACGTCCATTTTTCATATGCAGTCTGTGATAAAGAAAGCTGTAAACAACACCGTAGTTTAGCCTCGTTGTTGTTTTCCCCCCGGTGGTCACTTGTGGAATTACAACAATGCCGTGTTTTCCCATTTTGCTCACCTTGAAGGCCATAAACTTGTGGTAAGGTTTAGGCGCCCAGGCGTAGATTTCCACCGAGTTCTTCAGAGCAATCACCAAGAATTTAATCCTCTCGTACTTCACTGCAGGAAAAAAAAGTAAAAACGAGTTGAGATCACAGGATTTTCAGCCGCAAAAAGGCCTTAACTGTAGCTAGATGTGATTAAATTTCCTTTTATTTGCTTTATGGTACATCTGGTTGCCATAAATTCTTCAAAAGCAGTTAAAAAAATCCCTGCTTTTCACGTGGCTAATGCTAACTTTAGCTTGTCTTTGGCTTTAAATGCAACCGACTTTCCAGACTGGAGGCGTGTCAGCAGGACCGTGATATGAGGTAGTTTTTCGTACCGACTTTGTAGTGAACGCAGCCCTCCAGTTCTCCAACGGTGATCCAGCCCTGCTTCTTTTCCACCTCGGGATCGTTGTGTAATATCCTGTTCCTCAGCCAGGACAGGTAGTAGACTCGCAGCTTGTTCTTCTTCCCTGGTTTGGGGAAAAATTGCAAAAGAAAAGAAAAGAAAAGGTTTATGCTCCCGGACGATTTCAGGTTTTCAGGACACTTTCTTCTCTTTCGTTACGTCCTTGTTTTGCGTTTAACGTCAGGACAGAAAATAAAAGCATGGGCTTAAATGAGAAGAAGAAGAAGAAAGAGTTGCTTAAAGATCGAGCTAATCAAACCCGGAAGCATCTCAAAACATGTTCTTCTTTGTAAAAACTCTGAATTTCATTGGGACTTTTTTTTTTTTTTTTTTTAGATGAATTTCATCAATGCCGCTGTTTTTTGTTTCTGGCTTTCGTAATCACCAGCTAAAGGTTCACCTCTATGTGCAGCGCCCCCTGGTGTCGCGGAGGCCAGTGTACATAAACAGTTTACGCATGAAGCAAGCGGTTAATTCCCCGAAAATAAGGTTTGTATCGTACAAATACTATAAACTACAACTGTGAAATTACAAGTATATGAATGCTGTGTTGTTTTCAAAAGTTGGAGCTTTTTCTTTACAACAGTAAAACATTTAATATCAGAGCAGCAAAAAAATAAACGTTTGGAGCCTAAATATGGCAGTAAAATCTTTTATATTCAAAAAGAGTGGAAAAAAAGTGTATTCTTCTTCTTCTTGTTGGAGGTCTTATTGGTGCTTGGCAGGAGCATTACTGCCCCCTACTGGCCTGCAGTGTCAGACAGTTGATAGCAGGAAAAAAAAAAAGAGACAAAAGGTCTTAATTTCCATCCAATTAACTACTTCTATCAGTGTGAATAAATTGGTGCAAGAGTCTTCTGGTGTTTATTAAGCACTACATAGATGAATCTCCTGTAAAACCAGCTGCAGCCAGATGTTGAGGACCGACCTGAGATGGTGACCAGGACGTTGAGTCCCTCCAGGACGTCCATCTGCTGGAAGCGCCGTCGGTTGATCAGGTTGTAAACCTTGCCTTGGCCGCTCCGATCCAGCAGCATCAAGCCGTTCTCGGTTCCCACCAGCAGGTTCACACCTGCGTCAAAACACAAACATGTGGTTCTTACAGCCTTTCTAAGCGTCGGTGGTGTCGTGAAGCTGCTGCTGCTACTGCTGAGACAGTCTCACCCCACAGGGCAGCACACAGGATCTCGGAGTTGAAGCGTTTCTTGTATTTTCGGATCTCGGGCGTGTCGCTGTGCGGCCGGATGTTGGTCGGGTTGACGTTGACCACCGAGATCTTCCTGGCTTCGTTGAGCCTCGCCTGCTCCTGCTCCTGCTTTAGCAGCTCATCAGCAAACAGCGCTGCAGCACGAAAAACCGCACACAATAACATGAACGCATCTCATTTTCTTATGAAGGACGTCCTCATTTTACTGTGGTGTTTGATCGTACCTGAAACTAAGACGTGAATGTTGCACAAAAGCACAAAATTATGACCACATACATGTGATAAGTAACTTTGCTGCTTGACTTTAGAATAACAACAAGATTTGGTTCAAATTAACAAACAGAACTAAACTATTGTGTTCAACATCTTTTATAACAGGACATCCAGAGAAGGTAACAAGTGTTGCAGGAGCACTGGGAGCAGAGTACTGCAGCACAAAGAGACCACTTCAGTGGAGAACGCAGCCAAACTAAAATCAATTATGGTTTTTGATTTTTACAGACAGTCTGAGAATTTTTGCGTTAATTGAATTTAGTCAGTTTACACCAGGGATCTCCAGCTCTGGTGCTCGTGAGCTACTGTCCGTCAGGTTTTAGACGTTACTGCAACACACCTGACTCACATTAATGGATCTCCAACAGACTTGTGTAGAACTTGAGAGGAAACCCACCTGAGGCAGAGTTTTTATCGTCGTCATCGGTCGGGGAGGTCCCGTAGACCCTCGGATCAACGAACGGCGTGAAGGACGCCTTGGAGCCTCCGCTGCCTCCCATCCCGTACTGCAGAAACACACATCACAGTCAGTCAAGCATTTGTCTGGCGGTTTGTTAGTTTGGGATGAAACAGGTTTGCAAAATAAAGGAAACAGAATTTTCTTTGGCTCTTTGGAGTTTCGCCCAATAACAGAGAGTTTCCTTCATTTTGTCATCAACATGCCTCGCGTGCTCGGGGACGGGGTGGAGGGTGGATTCTGGATCGGAGACTGGAAAACCAAGAAAGGGAGGAAACGAGGGGAAAACGAGCGGATCGGGGAGGTTCCATCGGAGGGGAGTCGAACAACCAGGACGGGGAGGAAAAGTAAAGGTGCCACAGTTCGGGTTGGGTGGCCTGTCGGTGTCAGGTGGCTTGTCGGGGTCAGGAGGTCTGTCGGGGTCAGGTGACTTGTCGGGGTCAGGTGGTCTGTCAGGGTCAGGAGGTCTGTCAGGGTCAGGAGGTCTGTCGGGGTCAGGAGGTCTGTTAGGGTCAGGTGCCTTGTCAGGGTCAGGTAGTCTGTCAGGGTCAGGTGGCCTGTCGGGGTCAGGAGGTCTGTTAGGGTCAGGTGCCTTGTCAGGGTCAGGTAGTCTGTCAGGGTCAGGTGGCCTGTCGGGGTCAGGAGG